AATTCATTAAGAAGTTTTAACTCTAATTCTTCCAAAACGACAAGATAGGAAACTGCCACAGCCAACAAACAACTGCAACTCCTTGTCAAGTGGAAACAAATGGCAAAAGAGGACAATTCTGTTTGGAAATATATAAATTCACTTATAAAACCTCACAGAGAAGAATGGTAAAAACTATGGGAACCATAACCTTGGAAAAGTAAGAAGTGTGGAAGGAACAACAAATTTAGACAAAGTCCACTGGGAGATTCAACCAAGTAAAGTCACACCATGCAATTTAGGGAGGAACCTGGAAGAAGGCCAAGAGATGAAAAACGGGCAAAATGCACATAAAGGTTTGTTTGGTTTTTCGGGGTTTTTTTCCGAAGCAACTGGGGTTAAGTGACTTGCCCAGGGTCACACAGCTAGTTAAGTGTCAAGTGTCTGGTCTGAGACCACATCTGAACTCAGGTCCTCCTGACTCCAGGGCTGGTGCTCTATCCACTGCGCCACCTAGCTGCCCCCATAAAGGTATTTTTTTTTTTAACAAACATTTTTAACAAACTTTTCCCCATTTCGGGGAAATGGGGAAATGGAGATGGAAGTCACCACATCTGGACTCTTCACATGACAGTCCCATATGTGCTGTCAGAAGAAGTGAAAACAGCCATAAAGAAAACAAAGCTGGGAAGGCAGCTGGACCAGATAAGTGCAGAGAGGCAGGCCGTGCTGCAGGCAGCACACTTTTGAAGGCACTGAAGGGCTGAGTAACAAAATGTATGACAAAGGGGAAGGTACCAAGATCAAGGAAATAATCTTAGACCTCATTATGAGGCGGAACAGATAAAAGAGCGTATCAATAACTGATGATCCACAGGCCTACTTTCCTACCTATATAAAATTTTCACATGAATACTCTACACATAAATTCAGAGCATCCTCAATGATGGCATTAGAAGAGAACAGGTTGGCTTTCAGGGGACAGGTAAGTGGCGTAGTGGATAGAGTGCTGGGCTTGAAGTCAAAAAAGACTCTTTCCCGAGTTCAAATCTAGCCTCAGACACTTACTAGCTGTGTGACCCTCAGTAAGTCACTTCACCCTGCCAGCCTCAGTTTCCTCATCTGTAAAATGAGTTGGAGAAAGAAAGAGCAAACCATTCCAGTGTCTTTGCCAAGAATACCCCAAAAGGGGTCATGAGGAATCAGAAACAACTGAAAAATGATTGACAAGAAAAGGCTTTCACAGGCAAGATTTCACATTTCCATCACACGATTGACTAAAAGAGAAAGTGATTAAAGACTATATAATATCTCACTGTACTTCTACTGCTTGTCAATTATGAAAAGCCTACATTTTGGCAAAGTAAAATGCTACCTTATCAGTTATGTCCTTGGTATCCATATGCCAAAATCATATAAGACACCATGAAAGAAATACCAAAGACAACAGTCCTCACCAGTCCTCTGAACATTCATACCGATGAGGCATAAACAAGGAGATGCATGCTTCCCAAGGTGTCTGTCTATCACTGCCAATGACAGTGTGCAAGGCCAGTACACAGTCCAGGCCAAAGAGGGATGCCCTATGAGCTCATTCAGACACTCCTGTTTGTGTGTGGCAAATGCACTGATTTCAGCAAGCCCAGGAACAGTACAGAATAAATGACTCACACCTGGGGGATCCCAGGTAAGGCCTCCCAAGAAAGTGGTAGGTAAGTGGTATTTGAGCTAAGCCTTGAAGGCAAACTAAACCAAAAGGAAAAAAAAATAGAACTAGGAGGTACAAGACCTGGTAAGCGCTAAAGAACATCACAAAAGGTGAAACTGATCCTATTTTCACAGGCAGGAAACAAGTCATTACTGCTGTGGGAGTTATTCCTGAAAACAACTAAGTAGTCAGATCGCCTACCAGTTAGAACCAAGTTCAAAATGAGACACAAAATGAGATCCTTAGTCACTCAAAGAGTTCAGTCTCACTGTGTACACAGAAAGAACCAACAGCCTTCTGCTCTAGACTCCTGGTTGGTCTCCCTGGCTTCAGTCTCTCTCCACTCACTCAATTGATCATGCTAAAACATGGGTCTAACCAGATCACCCCCCCTTTTCTCAGCAAACTCCAGAGGCTCTTCCAGAATCAAGCACAAAATCTTCTACTTGGCACTCCAAGCCTTTTACTTCCTGGTCCTCTCCTACCTTGCCAGTCTTTTTACAGGTTGCTCCCCTCTGCGCACTCTGAGACACAGAGACCTTGGTCTCTGACACTCCATCCTGACAACAGGAACTTTCACTGGCTGTCGGTACCTCACCCTCTGGGCCTCCCTGACTTCCTTCAAGTTCCAGCTAAAATCCCACTTTCTACCAGAAGCGCCTTAATTCTAGTGCCTTTACTTGGTTGATTCTCTCCCGGTTATCTTGTATGCATCTTGTTTATATACTGTTGTCAGAATCAAGCTGTGGGCTCATGGGGAGGAGGGATGGTCTTCTGCCTTTCTTTGCATTCCCAGCACTTAGTACACAGAGGTGCTTAATAAATTCTTGTTAACTGATGGCTGAACCAAAGGCTCAAAGAATGGAGACCACTGTCCAGACCATGATACAGAAATGGACTCTTCTGCCCTTTGCAGCTAAACTCCTTCAAAAGGAGTCTACTAACAGGCACCTCAACTTTCTCTCCTCTCATTCTCTTCTTAACAATCTGGCTTCCATCCTCATCATTCCACCAAACTGCTCTCTCCAGAGTTACTGACCTCAGAGTACAGAGAGGAACAATGAACTCTTAATTAGTTAATGATCTCTTGGTCTTCAAATCCAATGGCCTTTCCTCCATCCTCATTCTCCCTGGCCTCTGTGCAGCCTTATGACACGGCTAATCATTCTCTCCTCTTCTATACTCTCTTCTCCCCAGGTTTCTGGGACACACCTCTCTCCTAGTTCTCCTCCTACCCATCTGATCACTCCTCTCTATCCTTTGCTGAATCCTCCCCCAGATCACACTCTCTAACAGTAGGTGATCCTCAGGATTCGGTCCTAGGCCCTCTTCTCTTCTCTCTACTACTTCACTTGGTGATTTCATCAGTTCTGTGGATTTAATTACTATCTCCGTGCTGATGATTCTCAAATCTACCTATCCTGCCCCAATCTCTGTGCTGCCCTCCATTCTCACATTTCCAAATGCCTTTCAGACAGCTCGAAATCGGATGTCTATCAGACATCTTAAACTCAACATGTTTAGAAACGGAACTCATGATCTTTCCCTTTAAGCCCTGCCCCCTTCCAAACTTTCCTATTACCGTTGAGGGCAACACTATCCTCCCAGCTCCCCAGACTCACAACCTAGGAAATGCCCTGGATCATCTTTCCCCCATCCAAGCTGTTGCCAAGGTCTGTTGACTTCACCTTTTCGACATCTCCCAAATACATCCTCTTCTCTCCTACCTCAAGTCTCTCCCTCATCCAATCCATCCTCTATTTATCCACTAAAGTGATTTTCCTAAAACTCAGATCTGATCATTGCCCCATTACTCAATAAACTACAGTGGCTTCCCACTGCCTCAAGGAGGAAATACAAAATGCTCTGGAATTCAAAGCCCTTCATAATCTAGCCCCCTCCTCCCTCTCCTGTCTTCTTACACCCCAACACTTAGTCTTTGATCCAGTAACTCGCACCGGCCTCCTGGCTGTTCCAAGAATAAGACCCTCCATCTCTCAGCTCTGGGCATTTTCTCTGGCTGTCCCCCATGCCAGGAACACTCTCCCTCTTCCACTCCAACTACTGACCTCCCTGGCTTCCTTTAAGTCCCAACTAAAAGCCCACCTTCTACAAGAAGCCTTTTCCAACCCCCTTAATTCCAGCACCTTCCCCTTGTTAATTATTTCCTTTTTATCCTGTCAGTGGCTTGCTGTGCATATATGTTTGCATGCTGTCTCCCCCGTTAGATTATCAGCTCCTTGAGGGCAGGGACTTTTGGTTGTTTTTGTATCCCCAGGGCTTAGCACAGGGCCTGGCATGGCAGGCACTTAATGCTTATTGACTGACTGATTGACTGAGATACAGAAATACAACATAAGCTGAAGAAGAAGAAAACACTAGCACTGGGAGGGAAACCCACCAGTTAGGTGGCACCTGGGTTGACCCTTGGAAGAGGGATTCTGGGAGATGGTGTTAAAGGAAGACAATCCTGGAATGAAGAGTGGATGAGGATGCAGGAAGGTGAAAGACGGCATGTTCAGGCAGGAATTAGCTAGCAGTATTCTCATTTGGAAAGAAGGCAGACTATGTGAAGGCTGGAAAGTGGGTTGGAGTCAGATCGTGGAGGCCTTAAGAGGACTTCAGATGAAGCCTTCTAAGATTTGCAAAGAGGTTTACACACTCCCATCTGCTCCTTGCAACTACCCTACCATGTACTATATTATATATGCACATATATACATACATAAATATACATACACATACATACACACACACATATAAAAAATACGGCAAGTATTATACCTATTTGACAGATGATGAAACTGAAACACAAGGTCAAGTGACTGATCCTTGGTCACACAGTTATGAAGTGTCAGGATTCAAGGCAATTCTTAAGCATGTCCTAAACAAATCTCCAACCTCTTTCCATTAGGCAACAATGCTTTTCCTTAAAAGTCAGGCTAAAGGTTTGCTTTTTCTCCTCCAGGTAATAGGAAGCCACTGAAAGTTTTTGAGAGAAGAATAACACAATCAAATCTAATTTTAAAAAAAGTTTTTTTTGAAAGTGCGGGGGGAAAATGGCTTGGACACGGGGGAAAGATGAGACAAGCCAACTAATTTGGGAGGCTTCTATATAATCCAGCTACAAAGTGATGAGGTACAAGCCTGTGATCCCCTACACATTATTCTGGAATATTTCCTGGACTCAGACTCTAACAGCTGGGCAGATCAATAAATACGAGGCAAAGTATGAATTTAGATAAAGAGTTACAGTATATCACTATAATATCTATGCTTACACACGGTATCATTAGAAGCAAACGGGACTTACCTCTTGAACTGAACACGGTAAAACCACACGGCTGAAAAAAAAAAAAGAAAATACACATTACAAATCACATCACTGAGAAAATTAATTTGACATCACAGATCCCTAGAGATATAAAGGGTGCTTTATACCCAATGATACCATGGGGAAGAAATGCAAACTGTACAAATGATGTGACGGCCCAACTAAAAAGACAACTTTGTCAGATTTAACGTAAAGGGATCTCGGACATCATCTAATTCAATCCCCTTGTTTTAAAGACATCATACAGGCAGAAGAGTCAGAACTTGAACACAAGTCCCGTTATTCTAAATCCAAAATGTTTTCTCTTAGTTCAGGAAACACAACTACGGTTCTTAAAGCTTTGCCTGAATTAATCTACAACTGGGAGCTCTCAGGACATTCACTTATAGAATTTCACCAATTCTCTTGGGGGAATGGCACCCAACTGTGGACTAGTTGTATGCTATCTACCTATGTGCATTCTGTCATCACCATAACGACTTAGACTAAGGCACAAGGCATCTAAAAGTGGATGGAAATGGGGAGCACCTGAGGTCTCCCATCTCTTTCCATGGTATCTCTCACAAAATACACCTGAGTCTTGAGGTTGTGTCAGGAAACGTATACTTCTTCACTCATGATCCATTTACTATTCCATTTTAAATTGGAAGAAATTAAGAAACGAATTCTTTAGTCTGAATAAGAAAACATTTCCTCCCCGGAGTTTTCCACAGAACCTTGCACAAACACAGTGGGCTATAATGAGGCAGACCTCAGGAAGGCTGTTCTGGGTCTAACCTGGTCCAAAATGCATTGCTTAGTGACTATGCCAAAAAGATTGCATTATGATCTCCCCACAAGCACTTGTACCAGGCATGGACCTAAGCACAGTGGATACTGAGGAAAAGCAAAAACAGTCCATTCCCTCAAGGAGCCTCCATTCCACAGCACCTTTGACTCCCAAAAGTGCCCGGAGGAAAAGGGAAAAGAAAGCCGTGGCATTAGCCCCTGATACATTAAACTATAGCATTTGTTCAAAATCTTTGGTGAGGATGGGCATTCTCTTTTCCTTCACAATACACACAAAAGCCCACAGACCCTGGATCCCTGCTCAGTTCAACAACTCATGCCTGGCACAATGTTGGGCACTAACAAGGCAGTCCTATTGTCAAAGAGCTTCCAAAGCACAGTCCTGCCATTATCATCTCATTCCTCCTCAATGTTGCCTGCTTAACCAGCAATACACTAAATTAAGCATCTTCAAGTGTTCCAGCCTACCTATTCTTTGAACTATATATTTACCTTATTTGTACCTAGATGCCTCCAAGTTACATTTCAGAGTTGCAAAGGACCTCAGAAGCCTGAAGACCCCTGACAAGAGGAAACATACTACCACCAAAGGCAACTCAGCACTCTGGGCTGCCCCTACCTAGGACTAGGCTAGCTCTGTGGGAAAGGGGGTGGGGAGGCATGTATGCACTTCATACACTTTTAAGTTTAAGCTGTATTACTAACATGTTCTCCATCACTTTCGTAAGTCCAGAGAATCAATAACGACCACAAAAACCAAGCCCTGATGTGTAGTAGTTGCCAGTTTCTGAGGTACAAATGCTCACACTGATAATTCAATAATCAACCTGGTACCAGCGGCCAACACACCTCTGCTCTTCTCCGCTCAGATTTTTCTTGAATGAGGCCAGACCTCCCTCTTCCAAGTGTCTACCCATTACCACTAGTTCTATCTTCTGGGGCCAGGGAAACAAATCCTCCACATGACTGTCCTTCAAATACCTAAAGACAGCTTTCTGTTGTAGCTTTGTAAACAATCTGATTTTTGCCCCTACCTCTTCCAAGAATCTCTCTTCGGGAATAACACGCCACTCAACACGCAGTCCAGAATCACTGAAGTTTGCAGCTGGAAGGGAGCTGAGTGGACAAGCAGATCCCAGCCCATGACGGAAAAAGAATCCCCCCTACTACATCAGAGCAGGCAGGAGGTCAGCCAACCCCTCTGGGGGGTAGCCAAAGGGGGAACAAACACTTCTCCAGAAAGCCCCACAATTCAATCCAACAACCATTTATTAAGCACACGCTACATGCTGGTCAGTGTTGGATGATGGGGGACAAAGCTCAAAATGTAATTGCCCCTGTTCTCCAGGAGCTCATCTTCTACATGGGTAAATATCAAATACTTGGGAACTCACAACAAACTGTATGCCAAAGAAACACAAGGGGATGAACATTAACTGGGGTAGTCAGGGAAGACCTCTAGTAGAACCACAGTACCCGAGCTGAATAAAGACTCATGATTTTTTCCCTCAAACCCACTTTGCTTCCACATTTCCCCACCATAATTTTCCAAGTCACTCAGGTTTGTAACCCTGTATCCTGGACACCTCATGGCCAATCAGCTGCCAAATCTCGTTACTTCTAGCTCCCCACCTTCTCTTCTCTTTTCTTCCATCCCCCTTCCTCCACTCCCAGTGGCCATCCTAGGACAGCCCCCTGAACCTCTAGCTTGCACTACTACAGTGGCCTAATCGGTTTCCTTGCCTCCAATTCACCCTCCACAGAGACACCAAAATGATTTTCCTGAAGCACAGGTCTGGCCACATTACTGCTCCCCCACCCCAACCCCTCCAGGAGCAAATATAAACATCTCCTGGAATATGAGAACAGAATGTTTTCAGGACTGCTTCTTTCTACAGTGGGGGCGGAGGGAAGGCTAGGTGTGGCTGGCTCCAAAACCCCCCCAGGAAGAGCAGGCTCCAAGGTGTCTCCCCACCCTGCCAGGGCAGATGACACATCCTCTGCTGGGCCCACTCCAAGGAACACCCCCTCCACATACACTCCTAGAAAGCTACAGTTGCCCCACCTTCCAAAGGTGATCAACAAAGACCATGCCTGGAAGGAGCTAAGGCAGGAGGCATCACTCATGGGACCAGTTCCTATCTTCACCCTAGCTAGCCCCGCCCCCCATGTAAACAAATCACCATCACCAGGCAAGGGGAGGAGGAGGAGGGAAGGTTGTGCTAATGAGGGCACAATTACTCTTTATTCAGAGTCTATAGCAGACCCAAACTCACCTCCTCACACAGCTCCCATACAAGTGCAGCTCCCCCATTAGTATGCAAACTCCTTGTAGGCAGGGACTATCCAACTTACACAGCATCAAAAAAGTGGCACATAATAAGCCTTAAACAAAGTCTCATCAGTCTTTTAGTTTCAGTTTTCAAAACTCACCCCTATCTTAACAGCTTTCTTACACATTACTCTCCTATACACTCTCTCTCTCTGTCTCTCTTTCTTTCTTTCTCTCTCTCTCCCCTCCTCTCTCTGTGTCTCTGTCTCTCTCTGTCTCTCTCTCGTCCAAACAGGGCATCTTATTCGCTCTGTTCCCATCTTTGGCCTTCTGCAAGCCTGCAATGCCCTCCGTCCTCAATGCCATCTCCTGGAATCACTGGTTTCCTTCAAGACTCAATTCAAGTACCTACTTCTTCATGCACCCACTTCCTGCTTCTTCCCCATCTACTAGAGCCTCCCCACCCCCACAGTAGCCTTCTATGGGTCTTCTGGGTTTTGTACACATGTATCTATGTGTGTGCTGTCCCCTTCAGTCACTTGCTTATGGGGTCTAGCACCTATCACACATTTAATAAACTTGCTGACTGATTGATAGGGTTTCCAGAGGCAAGAACCAGGAGATGGAGTGTTCTTGGTGAAAGTGCAGCCAGTACAAAGACACAGAGCTGAGTGAGACACAGTAGCCAGTGTGAGCAGTGGTTCGGGATCCTGAAAGCCCGTTCCGCTCGGGCTCCTCATGCCCACCTAAACTTGCCTCTCTTCAGCTTGCACGCATGATCCAACACTCAAGGACTCCCACAGTTACCTCTCTGAGCACCCCAGCCTGCCTAATTTTCCTAACCAGCCACATTAGTCAATCAACAAGCTTTTTTAAGCACCTGCTATGTGTCAGGCACTGTGCTAACCCCTGGACACACAAAGGTCAAAAATAGTCCCTGCCCACAAAAAAGGTACATTCTTATGCAGAAGACATCACCAGCATCACCAGCACCGAATCTTTCTAATACTAGTTTTCAGGATCCAAGAATCCTGGTGTCCAGCTTGTGCAAAAAAGCTGTCATTTATTCCAAAACAATATCGCACCTATTCACCATTCCTATCACAGCAACGCTGCCTCTGGGCCAGGGGCAGTTAGCACCTTATTTGTCTGCCCTCTTTATTCCAGACCATCTGACTACACTGTCCCAGGCAGGATTGTTTATGCAGCTGTGGATTCATTTAATTCACCACAGAATACTTTACCTAAACCTTTCTTCAATACATATGAGGCTACCTTACTACCAACATTTTAAAATGCATAACAGAATCTTAATTCTAGGAGAAAATATACAGGAAGAATATAGTCTGCAGTGGCTCAAACCCAATCTCATCAGAATATTCCATTATTTGTCTACCAGTTCCTGTTGGAATTCGATGAAGACACAATAAATCATCACCACAGGGGCCTCTGTTCTTTTCAGTTTGTACAAGCAGGAAATTGGAGAGCAGCAAGCAGAGCAGAGGAACCCAAGCAAATCAAGTGGAGTCACAAAATCCTCAAATCCAAAAGCACTCAGTTGTCATTTCAAAAGCTACACAACAATTGTGTAAGTAATGAAATCAAACGGGAGACAGCACCATTCCAAAGAGTTGGGAAATCCCCTGTTATCACTTAATAAATGTTTACAGTCAAGATATGCTAAAACTTCAATCAACTACAAATTCCCTAGATTTCAATCAATTCTATAGCCAATCCAATCTGATTTCATAAGAAATTCCCTGGGTATGACAACCACAGAATATTGAGGAGATTGCCAAGAAATTCACTAGAAGAAACACACTGTGAGATACCTTTTATATAACATGTTTTTCACAGAAACACCAGTTTTGTAAAGTCAGTGACTAACAAAAGAAATAAATGAGTCTTCAATGTACTTTGGAAAGTTTTTAAAATCCCAATTCATTAGTGAAAGAGAACATCAGTTTTATCTCCCATTATTATTTTTTAAAATACATTTTCTTCCAAACTCTCATAAATCTGTTCACTTTTATTTCTTCAGAAAGCCCAATCGTTTTAAAGTCTATCTAGCATCTTTACCACTGAGACTTCAAAAGCCCCCTCAACAATTCCGCAGATCTTTTATTCCCCCAGCAATGAGCTCCCATCACTATAGCCAACCAGAGGTCGGTCATCTCGTTTGCCTTCATTCTCAGTCAGGACCATGGCATCAGGAAGACGATGCCATGACATGAAGGGGGGCTATGTCAGTCCTCTAAGCCTTAGAACACAGCCTTCCCTGCCCCACCCCTCTTTGGCCAAACAAAGTTCCCAAACCAGAAGTCAATCTTCTAGTGCTGGGTCTCTCTGAACTCCTGGAGGCTGGTACTGAGGAGATCAGACACAAAGCCTATAGCCAGGCCTGTGCTCCAAGACTTTCCAGCTCTGGAGAACCTTCCAAAGCTGAATGGTCACTGGGAGAATCCAACATCCCAGGGAAAAACTGGAACTTAAAGCATCCCCAAAATTCATCTTATGGTTTATACCCTAAACATTTTCTTCCTTCATTCAAGCACTTGGTCCCTTACTATATGTAAGGGCACTCTGCCCTGAGCTGAGGGAAATCTGAAGATGAAATCCTTTTTACCCCATGGAGTTCCCAGGCTAGGTACACAAGATCACAAAGCAGACAGGACCTAAGAGAGATACAACGTCCAGGGAGACTTCCGAGGAAGAAGAGATGCCTTCCAATTGCGATAAGAAAGGCTTCCTGGGGAAAATGACATTTGATTGGAGCCCCTCTGGACAAATGGAATTTGAACAGAAGAATGGGGCCTGAGCAAAGCCATGAAGGGTAGAAAGGGTCCCATTTAAGGACAGGTGTGCAAGTTAAATGCCATCTTCCAGTCTTCACTCTCTCACCCCCCAGAGCCCAACTGCTGCCAAAGCCAGTCACTTTCACCTTCATACATCTTTCCCACACATCTCCTCCTCTCACATGACACTGCACCCACCCCAGAGGAGGCCCCCATCACCTCACACAAGTCTGTGTCCAAGTCACTTGCCATCTGTGCCTCAGTTTCCTCCTTTGTAAATAAAGGTGCTGGACTAGATGGTTCCCAAAGCCCCTTACAACTCTACAGCTTCGATCCTGGAATTTAGCAAATAGGGGAAAAGACCACCCTGGATCCTTCTCAGACCTGCTGGAAGGAAAGCACTTTATAAATACTGAAATGCCTAATGACCAGCCTGTCTTCTCCCTCCCAACCAACCATCTATGGGTGGTTCTGCCAGCCACAAGTTGTTGTCATCATCCCATCAGCCCCCCCACCAAATGGTCTTCCCACATCCAAGGTCTGACCATGTCACTAACTTTCTCTATAAACTCTAGTGCAGGCCAGTACAACCTGCTGCCTGTGGGCTGTGAGCAGCCAGCAGGCACACCAAAGGATTTCTGGTGGCCGGTTTCCTCTACATTTTTCCCTGGGGCCACCTTTCTCTTGCCACAAGCAGCTCCAGGTTGTGCAGGCCTGCTCCAGTGGAACTTACCAATCCCAGGATCAAACTGAAATCCTGGTTAGTCTTCATAAACCTACCTCCCTCCACCTTTCCTGTCTCCTTACACCTTACACTCCTAGGGGTGACACTACATTCCTGGCTGTTGCGCAAAAAGTACATCTCCAGACTCTCAGTATTTGCACTAACTGACCTCCACAACTGGAAAGCTCTCCTTCCTCATCTCCCCTTTTGAGACTTCCTTCAAGTTCAGGTTAAAATCTCATCTCCGACAAGAAGCCTTTCCCCATCCCTCTTAATTCTAGCATGTTCCTTCTGTTAATTACCTCCAATTTATCCTACGTATAGCTTGTTTGTCCATAATTACCTGTATGCTACTTCCCCCCATTAGACTGAGTCCCTTTGAGAGATGGGCTCATCTTTGCCTTTCTAATCTTCCCCAGCACATAGTAGGCATTTAATAAACATTTGACTTTCCACCTCTAATACCACTAGTTCATCTACTTATTCACTCCACAGAGACAATGGAGTAAAAAATGAAAAAATCTCATAATCCCACAAGGAGCAGGAGCTTCTTGGCCAAAAAAATGTCACATAAATCTAAAAGACTTTTAAAAGCTAACAAAGCATCAGCATTTTAAATGTATCTTCCAATATTTTAACTGCATTTTCCACCATTTCATTCTACAGTGAAAGACAAAAGGATGCAACATTGTTATGGGAAAAGACTGAAGAAATTCTGGAAATCCTTGTCACTAACCAAGCCACTTTTCACAGAAAAGTTTGTTTTACCTTAGGGTTTGTACACAAGTGAGAAATCATATTAAGGGATTTTCTCATATGTCAAGAGAGAGGCATGGCTTATATGACCTCTTAAGGTCTCTTCCAGCTGTAGTTCCCATGATCAAACAGTTATCTCCATTAAAATCAAGCAAAAGAAGGTAAATAATAGAAACAGGACAGCAGTCATTAAGTTAAAACTGGTATTTAACAGGAAAAATACACTTGGAACTCCAAGTTACCTGCAGGATGCTGGTGACAAGCTAGCAGGGACACTGAGAGCCAGGCAATGTTATACAGTAGAAAGGATGCAGTGCTGGGCGACAGAAGAGCTGGGTTTGAGACCAGGCTCTTCTAAAGATTGTCTTGTCAATACTTCCTTGGATTTTCTCTCTGTGGGCTTTAGTTCACTCATATAGGATGAGAGTAAAAGAAGGTCTCTAAGATTCCGATGGGCTATAACATGTGATGCAAGAGGTTTCACCAGGTGTTTGTGGCAGAATAAAAATTTACACGTCTATAGACCTTTACTGCTTACAAAACATTTTCCTCAAAACAACTGTGAGTTGGGTAGTATATTAGTAGCCCTTTTTTTTTTTTTTTTGGTGAGGCAATTGAGGTTAAGTGACTTGCTCAGGGTCACACAGCTAGTATTTGTCAAGTGTCTGGTCTGAGACCAGATTCGAACTCAGGTCCTCCTGACTCCAGGGCCGGTGCTCTATCCCCTGTGCCACCTAGCTGCCCCATTACTAGCCCATCTGCAGATGAGGAAACTCAGGCCCACACTTACTAGCTTTGTGAACATAATCTAGAAACCTCCTGAGAGAAAGTGTCTAGATCGTGGTCAAAGAGCTAGTTAAGCAGAATATTCAACTAGAAGCCAGGTCTTCTGAAAGCATTCTTTCCACTACACTATGCTGAAAGGGTACAGGGGCTTTAGAGAAAAAAAACAAAACTATACACCAACTTCTTAATGCACAGCCACCTTCACTCCTCAAAAACCTTTCCCGGCTCCCTATGGCCTCTAAAACAACACAAATGCAAAGAGAGCAGTGGATCTGGAGTCAATGGGCCTGGGTTCAAATGGGTTCAAATCCTCGTTTTGAAGCTTGGCAAGGCCAAGTCACTTGCCATCTGTGCCTCAATTTCCTCCTTTGTAAATAAAAATGCTGGACTAGATGGTTCCCCAAGCCCCTTACAGCTCTACAGCTTCGATCCCGGAATTTACCAAACAGGGGAAAAGCCTCCCTGGATCCCTCCCAGACCTGCTGCAAGGAAAGTGCTTTATAGATACTGAAATGCCTAATGACCAAGCCTGTCTTCTCCCTCTCATTGCTTTCCCATCCCTCTGCCTGGTGAACTTTTCTTCCACGGAAGTGGGGGGGGAGGTCCCCCACCTCCTCCATGAAGCTTTCTGACTCCTCCCACATGCCTATGACTCCCCTTGGGCGCCCTCTCCCCCCACCCCAACTAAGGGTCTCGGGGAAGGCAGTGGTCGCGGCAGCCCTCACCTACAAGCACAGGGCCTGGGGCACGTGCTGACCACCACCCCGAGCATCAGTTTGTGGGGGGGAACAGCCGGAGCCAGGACCCCCTGCAGGGCCTGGCATAACCCACCCCCCCCCCCCCCCCCGGGCCTTTCCTCCGTGCCCCCCCCCCGACTCCTCCCTCCTTCCCGTAAGCCTCGCCCTCCCCCACGCGGGTCGTCCGGGAGACCGGAGGAGGCTCGAGGGAGAGGCCGGGCGAGGCTGCCCCCGTCTCAGACTCTCACACACACACACACACCCGCCCCCCCATCCCCCGGCAGTCCCAACGGAAAGGACGGGGCTGGGGGCCGCGCGCGCGCCAGGGGGCCGGGCCCGGGGCAGAGGCGCGCGGGGGCGGGGGAGAAGGGGGAGGGCGCGTGCGTGCGCAGGCGCGCGAGGGGCGGGGAGGGGGGAGTATGAGGAGGAGGGGAGCGGAGCCGGCGGCGCGCACGGAGCCGGGAGCGGCCGGCTTGGGTCTCTCCGCGCGGAGGGAGGAGGGGGCGCCGGGCGAAGCCGCCGGGCCCGCCCCGGCTCCGTTACCCTGCGGAGGCTCGCGCCGAACCTGCGCCCGCCGAAAAAAGGTCCCCCCGCCCCAGCCTGAGACCCCCCCTGCTTCCGCCGGCCCCAACTCACAATTCCTTAATCAGCACCATCGTTCCCTCGCCGCTGCCGCCGCCGTCGCCGCCGTCGCCGCTGCCGCCGCCGCTACCGCCGCCCACGGCGCTTGCGCAGCCCCTCCTCCCCGCCCCGGCGCCTGCGCCATCCCGCCCTTCCGCCGGAGGGCCGCGTCCGCGCAGCGGGGCAAGCCCCGCCCCCTCCCTCGGGTGGGCGCCCCGGCGCCTGCGCGGCCACGCCCATGGTGACGTCTCCACTCGGCCCGAGCTCCGGTTCTAGCGCCGGCCCGGGCGAGGCTCCGCCCCGGCTCTCTCACGCGACCCTCGCGAGGACCCCGCCCCGGCCTCGCCCCGCGGGGGAGCGCCCACGGCCCCGCCCCTGGCTGAGTTCTGGCTCCCCTAGACTTGCCCTGTCCCGGCAGGGAGGCGGGTGTATGCAGCTTTGCATCGCTGTGTAGACAGACTGCTTGGCCAGCACGGCAGCCAGAATGAGCTGTGGTTTCCGGGCGCTGGGCGAACGTTGCCTCCTGGGGGGAGGGGCTGTCCTTATCCCATGGTTAAGATGAGGAAACTGAGGCAGGAGGGCCTAGGGGTCCCACGGCTAGTGTCCGAGGCAGAATTTCTGACCCCAGACCCGCCCTCCCTCCTCTGCACCATCTGGATGCCCACAAGCGCAGGCTGGGGGGGCCGCGTAGGCAGCAGGTTTTGAAAAAGATCGGGGAGGTTTAGTGGAACTCGGGCTTGAGATGAGTCAGCGGGTGAAGGAGCAGCCTCCTCCTCCCCCCAAACAAATATGCGGAATGCAGCCTTGGCTTCGACTGGACCTGTGGTTTCACTGACCTAGGGAACGCTCATGGGCGCCGGGCTCACCTGGAGCCCTGAAGGGTGAAGCAGTTTGTTCCGAATGCCGAAGCCGGTGTGAATCAGAAGCAAGACTTGAACCCACGACTGAGGCAGCTCTCCACTACCTCGCTCAGATGTAGTAGACTCCTGGCACGAGGCCTGATCGGATCTCATCCGTAGTGTTATGTTCGGCTTTGGGGGCAGCAGCTCAGGAAGGACATTGATGAACCGAACAGGGTCCAGAGGACGTTGACCAAGATGGGAAAGGAAACAGGGTCGTGCCGTATTAGCCTCATTGCTTGAAGGACCGGGGCATTGGCCTGAAGGAGCTGGGGTGGAGAGGGGGTGGGGGACTTGACAGCTTTCTTCATTAGTGTATTTGGAAGGCTGTTCGCTGAATCAGACATCCTCCATCTGGACCCAGAAGACAGAAGTAGGACCTATGAGGGGAAGTTTCAGTTTTAGGCCTGAGGTTAGGAAAAAATTTCTGAAGAACTATTTATTTTAGGTTAACAGCACACAGTTGTCTTGAGTTTTAGACAGAGGTGTCTGAAACCTAGATATAGACTACATGTTGTTTGTCCTTTGTTCTCAAAGAGGTCCAATGACATCAGCAGGGTGTCTTGACTTGCAAGTGAATGGGATTTAAGTGGGGCAGAGCTGTGCAAGGTCACCAGCCTCACTCTCTCGTCCAGAGTCATCAGGGTCCAGTGGCAAGACATAGGTCAGGATGACTGGAGATGGCCCCAGATGCAGTGGGAGGCCTTGGACTTTTTGAGCTAAGGTCTTTCCCAGGTCTCAGTTTGTCTGAGGCAAAACCTGAGACGGTCAACAAGGATCTCTTCAATGCCTGCTATGGGCCAGGCACTGTGCTAAGGTCTGGAAATACAGTAAAGGCAAAAGACATTCTCTACCCTGCAGGAGCTCATAATCTAATAGAGACAACACACGACAGGCACCTACAGGGCATCTCCAGAGTGGATTGAAGGTGGCCTCAGAGGGATCAGCTCTAGCAGCTGGGGAGATGTGGAAAAGCCTCCTGGCAGAAGGTGGAATTGGAGCTTAGTTTTGAAGGAAGCCAGGAAATGAAAGAGAGGAGAGGGGGCAGAACACTCCAGGAATGGGGGGCAGGCATCAGGGAAGGAGACCAATGGAGGAGGAGCAGGTTGCCCCATGTAGGGAGGGGAGTCAAGTCTAAGAAGTCTGGGATGATAAGAAAGGGGGGGTTGGGAAGAGCTTCAAATGCCACACAGAAGTTTGTGAGGGAAACAGGCAGCCCACAGAGGTCAGTGAACCTGATACGGCCAGGTCTGTGTTTTAGAAAAAACACCTTGACAACCGCATAGGGGATGATGGCGGAAATAAAGACTGTTTGGGAGGCAATTAAAAGAGTTCAGGCAAGAGGTGATGAGGGCCTGTGTCTGTGGATGTATGAGGAGATGTGGGATAGATGTTGGGAAGGTAGAAAGGACAAGATTTAGTTCGACAGAAAGCATCTACTAGGTGCCAAGCAGGGCAGCTAGGGGGCTCAGTGCACAGAGCACTGGGCTTGGAGTCAGGAAGACTCATCTTCCTGAGTTCAAATCCGGCCTCGGACATGTACTAACTGTGTGACCCTGGGCAAGTCGCTTCACCCTGTTTGCCTCAGTTTCCTTGGAAATGGCAAACCCCTGCAGTACCACTGCCAAGAAAACCTCAAATGGGGTCAGGAAGAGTCAGATCTGACTGAAAAATGACTGAACAACAATGCCAAGCACTATGCTAGGCAGTGGGGACACAAAGAAAAGGCCCTGCCTCAAAATCTGTTGGGGAAGACAGCCCACAAACAAATATGTACAAACAAGCTCTAGGCAGGGTAATTAGCAAACAGTGAAGAGAGGGAAGGAGCTAAAATTAAGAGGGTTTGGGAAAGAGAGATGTTGGGATTTGAAGGGAGCTAGAGACAGAGACAAGGAGGGAGAGCATTCCAGGCCTGAGGGATGGCCAGAGAGAATGCTGGGAGCCAGGAGACAGAGGGTCCTGTTTGTGGACCAGCCCAGAGGCCTGGTGCCCCTGGATTGAAGGGTGTGTTGAGTTTGAGATGTCTTTGGAACATCCTGTTCTAGATGTCCCAACAGGCAGCCAAAGGTGTGAGATTGGTAGTTAGGAGAGAGGTTTTCAGTCATTTTCAGTCATGTCTGACTCTCCATGACCCCATTTGGGGTTTTCTTGGCAGATACTGCAGTGGTATGCCATTTCCTTCTCCAGCTCATTTGACAGATGAGGAAACTGAGGCGAACAGTGAAGTGACTTGTCCAAAGTCACACAGCCAGGAAGTGTCTGAGACCAGATTTGAACTCAAGAAGATGAGTCTTCCTCACTCCAAGCGTGGCACTCTATGCAATATACCACCTAGCTGTCCCTGCCTGGCATATAGTAGAAATGCCTGTTCTCTCCCTCCCCCATCTGGGAGAGGGGTTAAGGCTGGACAAATAGATCTAAGAATCATCTCCATAGCAATGATAACTGAATCCATGGGAGCTGATGAAATCACCATATAAAATAATACAGATGGAGAAGAGACAGGACAGAGCCTTGGGACGCCCATGGTGCAGTATTGGGGGTGCCCTGGAAGGCCCTCACTAGAAGTTACACGACCATTTGTTTGGACTCTTGTGAAGGAAGATTTTGATTTAATGAACATTAAACGCAGGTTCCTCACTCTTGGACTAGATTACCTCTGTGATTCTTAGTAATTACAGATTATTTCTGCTTCTTCTGCCCATTCCCAGGTTCTTTCAAGTTCTATCCTTTCCGCTGGCAGGCTTAAAAATATGGGACTTGCCCGCCTAGTTCAGAAATTGAAGGTCTGTCCCTTGTGATTTCGCAGAGAGCCCCTAAGACTACTAGCACATTGCCCAGGAAAGGAGCACTAGCCTCTGGGGTCAGAAGGCATGGGTTTGAATACAACCTCTGTTATTTCCTACCTGTGCAGTGTTGGGCAAGCAGCTTGCCCTCTCCAGACCTCACTTTTTACCTCTCTGTAAAATAAGTGATTAAGCCTGATTCCGTTCAATGTGCATTTACTAAGGGCCCACTATGTGACAAGGCATTTTGTTGACACTGGGCATAGAAAGGTAAAAATAAAATGGTCCCTGCCCTCAAGGAGCTTGCATTCAGTAGGGGAAACAGTATGTTTTGAAAACAGTATGAAAAGTAATTAAAAGACGTATGTAAAATATACATGATATAGTTATATAAAATATACACATGTATTTATATATTTTTATTGCTATAGGTTTATATTTTACCAGTAATTTATATATTTATTGTATATGTTTTACATATAAATATAACAAATGTTATACATATTTCCATGTATGTTTATATCTTTAAAATATAAACAAAGTCATTTCTGGGGAGAGAGGACCAGCACCTGGGCAGATCTATGGAAATGATACTAAAGGAGATGTATTGCCATCTGCTTTGGGCCTTTCCATCTGACTTGTAGCTACAACGTCCTGTATGTGTTATTTCCCTCTATTTGAATGTTAGCTTCTTGAGAACAGGGGAATGCCTTTTCTATGTTTGTCTATTTTTTGTTCTGTTTTTCAGTTTTTATTTACAAAGTTTAATAAATGTGTTGGTTTTTTTCATTCATTCAAATCTGGAAAGGCTTCCCATAAGATATCAATCAATCAATAAGCATTTACTAGACACCTCCTATGCACCAGGCACTGTGCAAGAGCTCGGGGATACAAAAAGGGACAGAAGACAATCTCTGCCTTCAAGGAGCTTACAATCCAGTGGATGAGACAACATGCAAACACATATATACAACACATTACCTGGTTTGATCCTTGAAAGGAAGCAGAGATTTCCCTGAGGTGGAAGCCAATATGGTGCCTTCTAGGCATGGGAGATGGCCTTTCCAAAAGCCAGAAAAAAAGGAGATAGAATGCTATGTACCAGGACCAGCAATGGGACCAGGTGGGCCACAGTGAAGAAGACATGAGCGCAACGTGCAATATGTTAGCCTGAAGAGCTATGCCAGAGACAGATCGTCAACGGTTTTAAAGACTAAAGAGAAGAGTTAGCCATTGACCATTCTTGAGCAGGGAAAGGACATGGTCAGTCCTGTACTTTAAGAATATCAGTTTGGCAACTGTGTAGAAGATGAATTAGAGAGAGGAGAATTCCTGGAGGCCAGTTGGGAGTGGATCTAAGCCAAAAAAGCTAAGCCAAAGAGCTGTATG